AGAAAGGTCTGCTCCTCTTACCGCTGTCAAAAAAAAAAAAAAAAAAAAAAAAAAGTTAACATAAACAATTTCTTTAAAACATCTCATTCCCTCCACTGAAGAACAGCCTTATTTTGCACTGACTTTCATTAAAGTGGCCACACCCCATTGCCACCAAAAAAGAGTGACATATTGTGGTTTTTTAAAAGACAACAACCAGGGTCAGGGATTTGGCTCAGTGGTTCTGCCGCCTGCTTTGAAAGCACAAGTGCCTGAGTTCAATCCCTGGTATCAAAAAAAAAAAAAGGCAACAGCCCTGGCTTTATAAAGCTGCTGCCATTAAAAGAATCAAGTGGCCATCAAGATTTTTTTAAGTCACTTATGGAAATGAGCCTTGGGCTGCAGTGAGCTCTGTCCTCTACACAAAGAACCTAAGACAAAGAACCATATGCCAGGTTCATCCAAGGCTTCCAGTAACAGCTGGGGTTGAAGCCACCACACTTTAGGGTGAGAAGAGCTGTGCTGAAGGACCTCATCCCATAAACAGGAAACTGGGGTTTGGAAAAGTTAAAATTCGAAGTTACAATGGCCAGTGAGTAAAAAGAATTTGCTTTTCTAGACAGACAGACAAATAGCTTGATTTCCTCTAAGTGAGCATGTAAAATAGTGACATTTTGGTAGCTCAGTGGTACAGCATTTGCCTACTGTGTAAGAGGCTGTGGATTCCATCTCCAGCTCCACAACAAAATAAAATAAAATAGTAGCATCTTTATTTCCCTATCTAATTTTCTCCCAAACTTTTTCAAGACTAGGAGTAACAAGGACTTACACACACATGGATATACAAGATATTTAAAAAGAAATTAGTAATTAGTAGATCATATTAATAAAGTATACATCAACATACAAATTCATTTTTACTTTCCTGTCATTATGGAGCCAGCTGGCAAAGCTAAAAGCAAAAGCTATAGGAGGGAAGAGCTGGTACCTTTGGGTCCATTTTCTGTTTGGTATAAACTCCATTTGCTGCTGTGAAGATGTCATTCAGAAATACAAAAATATAACCTTCCAAGTTAAAAGCAAGGTCAGAACTGTAGGAAGAACACAAAATGGGGATGATTATTTAAAAACTTACAACTTGACCTTAAAGTCCTAATACAATCCCAGTGAAGTGCTAGTAACACCTTTTCTATGGCCTGTGTCTGCCTTTGTGGTGGTGAATGCTTAATGCCTCTGCTCTGCCTCCAGACAAAAACAAACCCAGCCAATCGGGCAGCTTCAACTTAATTACTCCTGAAGACCCAGGGGTCTTTCCCAGTCTTCCTTTCACTGCAAGGCCCTTTTTTATTGTAGTAAATGGGCCCAGCCCCAGTATAGCCAACGGGGACACAAGGAGGGCAAGAAGGGCTGTGTGCTGAAGGAATATCTCTATCTGGTGCCCAAACTGTGCCCTGTTCATCACGAGACCAAGGCAGGCATGAGCATAGTCTGTGCCACTATCCCAAGGTTCCTTTCTTCCCACGATTTGGAAATATCTTCTTGCCAGTTTTTACTTTACACAGAATAACTCGAGTAAAAAACTGTTTGGAAGGATACAACACAGGGGCAAGAGGGAGAATAACTGGTACATGACGTGGCCATCCACCGCCACTTCATCTTATCCACAGTAGCAGAGCCACGTTGTACTTCATAAATTGGCAGGAAGAAAACACTTTCCTCTAACTTGGGTTCAGTACCTGAGAGTATACAAATTTATTTATTTGTTTACCATTCATTCATTGGTTCATTCATTCATTGATTTTGAAATGACAGAACTCAACATTCAGTTGAATTAACTCACTACCGCTAGTCTGAGAGGATGGAAAGCACACCAGGAGCCTCAGAGGCAAAGTAAAGCTTTATTTAAGGCCAGCAGACCAGTCTGCATTCCTACATGGAAGGCTGGCCCTGTCCAGCACTGGGCAAAGGAGGATATACTCTTTGGGAGGGGTGGGGTTACAGATAAGGCACATTTGACATATATTTATTGATTACAGAGTTTGAATATTTGTTAGAGTTTGAATATTTGAATATTTGTTAGCAGGTGAGCTCAGCTGTATTCAGGCATGTGAGGCAGGTCAGACCCGGAAATGCTGAGCAAAGGAAATCCCAAGTAGGGAATTTCCTCATAGTAAGTCCAGCTCGAATCGTGGAGACAAAATTCCCCTTTCAATTTTTTTTTCCCCTTTCAATTTCTTGAGACACTATCTCATATACTGCTCAGGCTGGTCTTTAACTCCTGGGCTCAAGTGCTCCTCCTGACTCATCCTTTTAAGTAGCTAGGACTTCTCACCAAGTCCAGCTGTGCCTGCTAATTTAAGCAACAAAAGATGGACTCAGGGCCTCATGCAGGCCAGGCAAGCACTCTACCACTGAACTCTATCAACAGCCCACAGAATACAAATCTTATTAATATTTTATGTTCACAGGAGTTCATAGGACAGTAAAACTCAAGCAGTTAAGACAGGAGGACTTGGGCCAGGGATTTAGCTCAGTGGTGCCGGTACCTGTCTTGCAAGCTCAAGGTCCCAAGTTTGATCCCTGATACCAAAAAAAGAAAAGAAAGAACATAAGACAGGGTGACTTTAAAACATTTTTAGGAAAGAAAGAGGGTTTCAGCATCCAGGGACAAATAAATTGCAAGGAGTGACAAGGAGCCTTATGAGGGAAAATAATGAAGGAAAAAGGTTAAAGTGTATTTATGTGGAATCATCTCTGGCTGACTCTGCCCACTGCTAAGAATTGCTCTCCTCTTCCTGGCACAGGAGATGGGATAAAGGGCCACCCCACCCGCTGCTGCAAAGGAAACCAGCTCCTAGGTGAAAGAAGAAGGCAGAAAACCTTCCCACATCTGTTGGTTCTCTAGTATCTTTAGCTCAAAATGACCCATATCCCAAAGTGGCATGTGTTTGGTACCATATCCTGACTATCAAAATAAGACTATCTCTATATCAGTATCAAAATAAGACTATCTCTAGCCAAAGAGAACAAAGTAGGCAAATAAAGCATCACGGCTAATTAAATCATAATCTTGCTTGAGGCTTACACTGGCATTACTATCTATCCATCCATACATTTGGGAAAATGTACATTGAATTTGGGTAATCATACAGCAGAATGTTCCAGCTCAATCACAAAAAAAGGGATTTTCAGCTAAGCATGGGGCCTAGGCCTATAATCCCAACATTTGGTAGGCTGAGCCACAGGAAGATCAGACCAGCCTGATTGATCTACGTGGTGAGCTCAAGGCCAGCTTCGATTTACATAGGAAGACCCTATTTCAAAGTAAGAGTCTTCTATATTTCTTGCCTACTCACATTTTCTCAGCATCAAGAAAAATCTGCTACTCCCCAAGACAGCAAAATATTGTGCTAAATAAACTAAACATGGCCTGAGGATGTCTCCATACTTGAGTCCTTACATAATGAACTGCACTCTGACTTAGTACCTTAACTAACTCAAAGCCAGATTTAGGAATATACTTTCCTAACAACAAGCTGAGTCTCAGCCAGCCACAGTCGTGAGCTTCAGGCAGCTGCACTACCACCTGATGGTTCCTGTTCACGTTAGGCTCATGATACTCTGTGCCACTCCATTGACTGTGCCTTGCTCAAGTTTTCTGTCCACAGACGCTGTCCCAGTCTGCACCAGCACTGGGGAACTGCACAACCTGCTGGCTATGCCTTTGTGAAGCTACACTGAATAAGTAGAAAAGGCCAAGCTCCTGGAGGCCTGAGAAGAAAGTGCTGCCTACTTTGCTAGAGAACATGAGTATGTCACTGGGACATCAGTGTTCCCAGCCACGGTCCTCGTTGCCTAGATAAGAGCCAACTCCAGGGCAATCCTTAGGACTTGTCATGTAGGGCCATTTGCAGGCATTATTTTTCAACTCTCTCTGGTCATGTGACTAGCTTTTATGAAGAAGATGTGAGAGGAAGTGACACTTGTCACTGCTGGCCAGAGCTTTATGACACAGTTCACAGCTCCTGACATGCCCTCTCCCACCTTGGTGACTGAGGAAGCCTCATCTGGGCAGGGGTCCCTCAATGGTCCCTGAGCCACAGACCACCTCTGGAGCCCTCCCACAAGCACCCACTGCTGCTGCTGCTGCCCAAACAGAACTTGGGCAGAACATACATGGGCTGAGCACAAAATACACCGAATGCTTACATTTTTTAAAAATGTGTTGCAGTAAAAAACAGGTCACAATGAATCCTCCTCAAAATACTCCCTCTGGCTTCAAACACAGTTATCCCATCATTCTTGCCACTTTATGAAGCATTCTGGAAGCCCTCTTTCGTGAGTGTTTATGTGATATGATGAAAAATACAGCAAATGCTGCTGCCAAGTGCCACCTAACAGAAAAGCGGGCTCATAAAAATACCACGATGTGTCCTCATCCCCCTCATTCACCAGGTCTGGCATGGTGCCACTTTTTGGCTCTTCCCCAAAGTCAAAATGACCATGTAAAGTAAATATACTGAATTGATTCACGACATCAAGGCAGCTGTGACAGCAAAACTAGACACTCATGGAGGAAGACATACAGAACTGCTTCAGAAAGAGGCAAGCGCAATGGGATATGTGTGTTCTAGGCAAAGAGAAGTATTCTGAGGGAGATTAATGGCAACCTGTCCTTTACTGTAATATTTTTTTAATATTTAAATATTCACCATACTTTTTTATCACACTTCATACATGGTGTGTTGAGCCAGCAGTATATGAGGGTATCTGTTAAAGCAGTGTAAAGTGACTCCTACAACTAAGTCTGATCTACAAGTTCATGCATTTCGATGCACTAACGAGGAAAGAAAAAGTCACAGTGGGCCTGCAGCTCAGCACCATGAATGCCAACCCCTAAACAGGGTCCTATCTGTGACTCCTACGGAGGAAGGGGACAGTTGAAAATAGTTCCTCCTAGCTGGCTCTTAGGCAAAAGATGCTTTTGGAAGCAGGATTTACCTTTCAACTCATCAGGGTATCATTAAACATGCTAAATTAACTGAACAAATTTGTTCACACACATACAGCATCTGAAGTGCATTCTTCACCAAAGAATTACACATTTATAAATCACTTTTTTAAAGCATTCTACTGGCTGTAAGTCAGTGGTTTTCCAAGTGAGTCCTAAGAAACCCAGAAAAAAGAAAAAAAAAAGAGGCCTAAGTCACTGTAGGAGGAGGGCACCTTCAACAAATTTCTTCTTTTTAACTACTTTCATCACAGGATGTGCTTTGAGCAATCTTTGAGACTAAAACTTTCTCTGAGTGCCACTGCTCATCATCTGCACTGGCCTTGTTTCAGAGGGATGTGACAGAGCTAAATTGACTGGCCTCAATCTATAATGAGGACTGGGCAAGCAAAGGGGACAGAAGACAAGTAAATAATAATCCTCCATACACTCAGGGACTAAACAGACAGATGATAACCAACCTGTCATTGTTGCTAGTATGTCACTAGCATGCTATGTTTCTTCACCTACTTGTTTTGCTTACTATCTGTATCTACAACTGGAACAAAAGCTTCATGAAGGCCAGCGCTGTTGTCTAGTTTTATTATCTATTAGGTTCCTAATATGCAGAATGATGCCTGGCATACAGGACATGCTCAGGGGGTTTTTGCTGAACTTCACCAAACTTTCATCAACTCCTTGTGTGAGTTACCTCATTTAATTCTCACAATGGCTTGTGAGGTGGATGCTATTTCAATCTTGGCTTTAAAATCAAGGACTGAAATAACTGAGACATAACTAAGACTGGGTAAACAAAAATAACTGAGACTGGGTAAACAAGAGTAAATAAGGAGACTAGAATAAGACTCCAGGCATACTGACTGACAGTTCAAATCTTTACTTAAAATGCAATTAGTGAGACAGGTGTGGTGGTGCACACCTGAAATTCCAGCAGTCTGGAAGGAAGGAAGATCACAGAATCAAATCCAATCTAGGCAACTTACCAACTTAGGGAGATCCTGTCTCAAATTTTTAAAAAAAGGCTAAGAATGTTATTCAATGCAAAGCCCTGGGTTCAATCCCTACTACAGCAAAAAATAAATGATTTTTTTTAATGCAAGTAATGATCCAGAATAATTGAGTTTAAATGGGTTAACAAAACAAGTTAACTGAGGTTCCTCCAACCTTTTCTTCCTTGCCTTCAATCAAAGAGGCACTGGACTGGGGATGTAGCTCAGCAACACAGCACCTGCCTGGCCCTGAGTTCGATCCCTGGTATAAATAAACAACTAAATAAATAGGGCACATTTTCTGTTATCACCTTTATAGATGAGGAAATGGAAAAACAAAAAGGCTGAGAAACAGCTCTCAAGGGGCTGAACTCAGGTGTGAATGCAGGAAATGTAACTGCACACATGCACTAGCTGAAACAAGCATCTGCTTCCAAATGCAACCTTGAAGTCTACATTCTGGTTCTTACATATGAAAGATTAAGCCACAGACCTGAGCTGTGCTGGCTTCTATCCTGAACATACAAGCACATTTAGTGACAGTGAAGAATCACGTGCCAGTGTGGGCTGGTGCCCCCAGATACATATGGATAGCGTTCTAGTACTGAAACAGTGAATGCTAAGGTCTCATGAAATGATTTTTTTTTAAAAAAAAAAAGCAACACACAAGAGCTTTGTAGATCTGTTGTGGAGGGCTGTTGTTGTTGTTGTTTGGGGTACGTGTGTGTGGGTGTGGTTGTGGGTGTGTGGGTGTGCTGCTAGAGATTAAACTCAAGGCTTTGTGTGTGCTAAATACACATTCAACCAGTGAGCCACAACTGCAGCTCAAAACTGTTTGGATGTTGTTGTTGTTGTCGCTGTTTTGTTTTGTTTGTTTTTTAGGGACTGGGGCTCAAACCCACAGCATTCACACTTTGCTCACCTCAGCTCATTCTAAATTTGGTTATTTGAGACAAGGTCTCACTAAAATATTAAGTTGCCCAGGCGGGGCTCAAACTTTGACTCCTCCTGTTTCAGTCTTCAAGAGTGCTAGGATTACAGTCGTGCCACCACTCCCAACTCCAAATCTGTAATTTTAAGCAAACATCTAAGAACATTTCAAGTTAAAGATTTTTTGCATGCTACTAGGGACTGAAACCAGAGCCTTGCACATGCTAGTTAAGCACTCACCCACTGAGCTACAGCCCCAGCCCTCAGGTAAAACATTCATGTTGAACACATTTAGAAATACAAATAAACAGTTTACAGTTGTTTTGCTTGCACAGAATAACTGTGTTTATGACTGGTAATGTTCACTGTACATATTCTCAGAAATACTCTGGCCAACATGGAATCCAGCTGGACTCTCACAGGACCACAGAGATTCCACTAACAACGGATTTGTCACTCAGCTGCTCAATTCAGCTGTAGCCAGATAGAAAATGAAACCCAAGGATGGCGCTGGGCCTATTGTCAAACCCACAAAGAAATCACTGAACAGAAACAGAGTAAAGTCTTACCCAGCTGCCACGACAGCCCCAAGGACAATGGCGAAGACACTGGCCACAATGTCTAGGGAGTGCTGCTTCCTGTACAAGGAAGCAAGCAGGGGATGGAAGAGGAGAACAGAGAAACAAAGATGCAGATTCTGCTTTTAAAACAAATCAATATAACATGAACAGTTTTATATCTAAAATCTAAGAGTGTTTCACATAGTCAACAGAACTGTAAATCAGACTGTATTTATTTTTTAAGCAGTTTTTATAATCTAATTATAAACTAGTATCTCTATTCTCAGCAAAGAGACACTGGAACAAAACCAGAAGAGGACCACCTTGAGGTTTAATTCACGTGGACTTAAATGGAGCATTTAAAGATTTTAAAAGGTGAAATTCAATGCTGAGGCTTAAATCAGAAAATCAGGGCTGGGGATTTAGCTCAGTGGTTCCAGCACCTGCCTTGCATGCAGAAGGACCTGAGTTCGATCCCCGGAACAAAAAAAAAAAACCCAAAAAACAGAAAATCAACTAAATCAACTACATTTTATCCTTAAGTAATTGTCACAGCAAAATCCACAACTGCCTTTCCCAACATCAGCCTAAATATCCTTATGAGAAATTTTTACACCAATAATATGAAAATTAATTTATTCTAATGTTATAATCATTGCATCAGAATACTTTTCCTTGATATTCTGTACTCCTATCCCATACATGTAAGAACAATTTTTCTTCAGTATTTCAAAACTGCTATCTATTCCACTGGGCTCAGCAAACTGATTTATTTACATTTTGAGGTCCTTACTCTTGCAAGGTAGATGGCAGAACCACCGAGCTAAATGCCCAGCCCCTAAAATGGCAATTTTAAAACATCCTTCATCAAGTTCTTAGTGGATCATGGAATCAGGCAACTGATTTTAAGTGAATAAACTATTTGTCCTGAGGTGATTACAGCTAGTAATTTAAATCAACTACCTGAAAAGCTGGCTAGATGGCAAGAATTCCCTGGATAAAAATAATGCAGGGGTAGGAGACACACTAAGAATGAAAAGAAAGGAAAAGTGAAATTCACCCAAGTACGATGGTCTCCAGGAGTAGAGTAAGTGGAATGGTAAATTTCCTGAGCACGGTGAACATCGGCAAGCTGTCAGAAAAAGATGCGAGTACATCAGACAACCAGTGTTAGTTGGTTGGTATTCTTGCTTTGAACTTGTCTTACATTTTTAACTAAGTCCACTAATTTTCCAAATTAAAAAGTAAATCGTTACAATTATGGTCAATTTATTTTCAAGAAGAGTATCACAATAATACAGTGAAGAAAGAAGAGTCTTTCCAAAAAATGGTACTGGGACAACTGAACATCCACATGCAAAAGAGATCAGAGCAGGCCTAGTGGTGCATACCTATAATCCCAGCATTCTGGGAGGCCAAGGCAGGAGGATCACAAGTTCCAGTCCAGCCTGGGCAAGTTCATGATTTAATGAAACCCTGTCTCAAAATACAAAAGGGGCCAGAGAAGTAGATCATTGCAAAGGTTGTAGGTTGAATCCATAGAAAAGAAAGAATGAAAGAAAGTAAAGTAAATAAAATGGACTTCATCAAAATTATAACCTGTATAAATGGATATGTAAATGAGATATAAATGTGCAATAGAGTATTATTCAGCCTTAAGAAGGAATAAAGTACATGCTATGTGAACGAACCATGAAAACATCATGCTAAGTAAATAAGCCAGACCAAAAAAAAACAAAAACAAAAAACAAATATTGTATGATTCCCATGGTATGAGTTATCTAGAGTAGGCAAATTTGCAGAGACAGAAAGTAGAATAGAGATTACCAGGAGCTGGGGGTAAGAGGAATCAGAATTTATTGTTTAACTGATACAGAGTTTTTACTTGGAATGATAAAAAAATCTGAAAATGGATTGTGGTGGTGGCTACACAACATTGTGAATATATTTAATGAAACAATCATACATTAAGAATGGCTAAAATGATAAGTTTTATGTGATGTATATTTCACCTAAATTATTACTTCAATTTTTAAACATTAAAAACTTTGATGTTTTAAAAAACCCCATTAAGAGTGGGATTCAGCTCAGCAGCAACAAGCCTACCTCGAAAGCATAAGGTCCTGAGTTTGATCCCCAGTACCATAAAAGACACCATTAAGAAAATAAAAAGAGTTGGTAGCAGTGGTGCATGCCTGTAATTTCAACACTCAGGAGGCTAAGGCAGGAGGATTTTAGTTCCAGGACAGATTGGACTACATAGTGAGATCAATGCCAGCCTGAACTATATAGTGAGACCCTGTCTCAAAAAAAGAAAATTTAATAATAATAAACAACCTTACCTAAAAATAGACAAAGAATCTGAATAGACATGTCTCTGAAGAAGATATACAAATGAACACATGAAAAGATGCTCAACATCATTTGTTATCGGGGAAATATAAATCAAAACCACAATGAGATACTGCTTCACAACCACTAGAGAGACTGTGATCAAAGACAGACAATAATAAATTTGGCAAGGGGATAGAGAAGTTATCTCTCATGCAATGCTGGTGGGAATGAATGGTGCTGGTAATTTGGAAAATAGTTAAAGCATTTCCTTAAAGTGCTACACAGAAAATTACCAGATGCCTAGTGATTCTGCTAAGATTATACTCAATCTATGTGAATCCTATTCTTCCAACTTGTCAGGCCAAAATCCATGAAGTCATCTTTCTCTTTCATACCCTGGAAGTTATTCATCATCATATTGTTTCCTTCCTTCAAAATTGGTCAGTGTTCAGATTGTCGCCTCTACATAATATTTAACATTAAAAGTAACCAGAGGGCCAGGAATTTAGCTCAGTGGTTCTACTGCCTGCCTCAGAAGCACAAGGTCCTGAGTTCGATCCCCAGTACCAACAAAAAAAAAGAAGTAACCAGGAGATCCTTAGAGAAATAGAAGAAAAACTGCAAAGTAAGCCCAATGTATCATGCAGCAGAAAACAAGGAAGTCAACAAAAACTAATGGGCCTTAAAACCAGATGCAACTCAAAGGAATTCCCAGTAGCCTGACATGGGACAATTAGAACATCGGAAAAATTATTTTTATAAAGAATGGAAACATAGGGCCGGAGATTTAGCTCAGCGGTTTGGTGGCCTGCCTCTCAAGCACAAGGACCCAAGTTCGATCCCCGGTACCACAAAAAAAAAAAAAAAAAAAAAAAAAAAAAATATCATATTAATAAAAGAAATAGACTAGTAAAAGAAATAAACTAGAAATAGTTCCACACAAATATAGTCAACCGATCTTTGACAAAAAAAAAAAAGGAAAAGCAAGTCAAGGAGAAAAGATGGACTTTTCAACAAATGGTGCTCAAACAAATGGACACCCACAGGTAAAACACTGAACTTATACCTTTCACAAAAGTTAACCCAAAAGGGATCATAAACTAAAATAGGGAGCATAAGCTATAAACCTTCTACATGATAACATCGAAGAAAATCTAGGTGACCTTGGGTTTGGTGAGAAGCTTCAAATACAACATCAAAAGCACAATCCATGAAAGAAAAAAAAGCTGATCATGGGGCTTCATTAAGAAGTTCTGCTCTGTGAAAGTCAATAGGATTAAGAGAATGACAAGATAAATCACAGACTGAGGAGAAATATTTGCACAACACACATCTGACAAAGAAATTATATTGAGTGCGTGATGATCCATGATTCATAATGACTGATAGGAAAAGCCAAAAAACTATTTTCAGTGGTCATCACTGAGGGTTAGTGAGGATACTAACATCACTCATAACATCTCTAAGTAAAGTTTTATCCTGGAATAATGCAGGATGATAATTATCAGTGGCTGTAAAAAACATTAGGGGAAAATTTGAGGGAGCTTTCTACTGAAGAGACCAGATTGACTCCTTAAAAATCATAAAAATAGGAACTGCTTGATATAATCTAATTCAATATGGAATCGGATATTATGTGCCCTGTTGGTAATGCCCTAGGAAGAACCCAACATCACCAATAAACTGATCTTGCCTGAAAATTTGAACCTGAATCTGATCAAGCTTCTATAACAAACTACCCATTTATAGAAAATATGAGGGTTAAAGGAATGCATTCTGTGTCACTCCAAAGAAGCAACAAGTCTCCTTTCTATCTCTCAGCCTCATTCCCCCTCCTCCCCAAGAAAAGTTTCATGTCACTCAGAAGCCCTGGTCTGTGACAGACCCTTAAGTGCAAAGTGCAGCTGTGATGTTAGCTGAAGCCACATCCTCAGCTGCATAGTACAAGAAAGATAAGAGACTCAGCTACAGGGAGCCTTCACGCAAATGTGAGGTGTTACAAAATGTCCCAGAACTGTCCCAAGCCAAGAAGGAAACAAACCAACTAGAATCTACAACTGAAAATAGTAGTTCATATTTTGGTGTTCACAATGAGTTGTCCTTGGCAAACAGGAGTGGAGATGAAAGGCCTAACTTCACCTTTTCCATTTGTATATGCCCTTCACTTTCTGGTCCACCTGTATCAACTGCTCATCTGCTCTCACTATATGACTTTCCCTCAACTTCTGCCAACATTTTGAACAAATTCCATCTTCTCTTTCTTTCGGTCTTCATTTATGGTGTTCAATCACATCTTCTCCACCACAGTCTCTATTAGGAAGGCTTAGTCTTTCCACTTTCACTTTTCACAGTGACTTTTCACAAAATTAATCAATCAAAGAACACTGAGGTAAATGCAAATATCAGAAGCATATAGCACAAACTGAAAAATAATGTTTGCTGCTTATTTTTCCCTGCCCACAACTTGATCTATGCCAAATCAGACAAAATGTTCCTGTTTGCAAAAATGGTGACGAAACCAAAAGTTATTCATAACTAAATTCATATAAAGCAACTGTCTGGATAAATCATGCTTTTCCTGCCTTGATATCTACAGATCTCATATTCCATGTTGAAATATGAATAAAAGAAAAAATAAACTTAACATTCCTAAAAACATTGTCAAATTTAATTCAGAGAGACATGTTACTTTCTTAAATTACAAAATATTATTGTCTTCTCTACATAGCCCAAGCAGTATCTTGGAAAATCAAACAGTCTTTGAGTCACTGGAAGCCATGGGTGAGGAACCTCCCACCAACGATCATTCCGCACCATACCTTAATTTCCCTGTGCTCGATAACCCACTTAAGTGGTTTCCAATGTAGAGAAGAGGCAGGGGAAACAGCTTCAGTTAAAAAAGAAAGGAAGAGAAAATAAAGAATATTTGGTTAAATCTCAAAGAATATATTCTCCACATGTTAAAAATGGTGACATTTGCATTCCATCAGTAATCAAATCATTTGAGTTCCTTTGCCTGCAATGACTGAATTTTTCAGAATCCAAAACCCATCCAAAAGTTTCCCCAAGTGGTCAAAATAGGTAGATGAACAATGACATTCTTTATCCTAGGGTTGAGGAAGGGAAATAACTGTAAAGAACTAAAACCTTGACCTTGTCCACATTCATAGGATCTGGTTAAGGCCCACTGAGGAAGTGGGGACAATCCCGGGCTTAGTTGGAGAGTTAAGGGTGGGTATGTATAGTCTCCAGGGAGAGTATCAGAGAAGGCCACAGACTTCTTTCTATGCATGACTGTACTCTTCTGGGCAAAAGTGAACATAACTATCACTTACCGGAATGTCAATGGTTAGTGGTCCTTTCAAAAAGATGTACACACAGCCCACATAACCTTGAAATTTTTTTGTTTCAAAGGCCTACAATGATTAATTAGCTACTACAATATCAAACAATATGAGCCGTACTTGAATTGGGTTCATTGAGCTCTAAGCTTCTGATTTTCCGTCAAAAGAAATACCATTCCAAGTATGCTAGCTAAACAAACAAAATGTCTAAACTAAACAAAGGTCTAGTCTTCCATAAGAAAAAAACAGGATCCTTTCTTAAGATAACTCAGCATTTTTTAAATTGTATAATAATACATATTTATCATGGTGACTTCAATATTTTTTTTCCATTAAAATTTTGTAGGGCATAGTAGCAAATACCTATAATCCCAGAATTCAGGAGACTGAGGTAGGTAAGTTACCACAAGTTTGAGGCCAGCCCAGGCTACACAGTGAGTCCAAGGCCAGCCTGAAATACATAGTGAGATACTGTCTCAAAAAAACAAAAAACAAAGCCAAAAGAAAGGACATTATGCATGCAAGTCAGATATGATATCCATTGAATCATATTACAATACTAAGTATCATCTACCCCAAACTGCTATAAAATTTTATTATCAGGAGATTTGCACAAGAAAGAGGCTAGAAAGAAGAGAAGATAATGGACTCAAGGTTTGGCCCTTTACTAGTCAACAGTCTGATTAACATCCTACAAATGACTCATCAATAACACAATTGATGGTATTATAGCTTTGAAAGATTTCAGTATAGCTGGGTATGGTTGTGCATAAGAGTAATCCCAGCAATAAGAGAGGCTGAGGAAGGATGACTGCAAGTTCAAGTCCTACTTGGGAAATTTAGGAGACCCTGTCTCAAAATAAGAAGGGCTAAGTATATAGCTCAACAGTAGAGCACCCCAGGCTTTGATCACTAGTATAATAATAATAATAAATTTTTAAAGGTTTAGATATCAAAATAGATCAGTTGCCCCCACTATCTATATATTTCAAAGTAAAAACAATACTGTCTTCTAGTTTGAAGAAAAAGTGCATTAGATGATTTGTGCTAATCACTTTGCTAAAGACAACTTAAAATGTTAGACAAATAATTTAAAACCTTAAAAGCATGAATGCCACAGGAGGACAGCAAAGAATCTTCTGGCCAAAGAAGGAAAAACATAAGTCTAGAGAGAAAACAACGGCAGCCAGAAGACAGCAGAATTCTATCTTTAAATTTCAGCCAAACTAGAATGCTATGCCCAACTCATACTTTTCAAAAACAAAGGTAAAATTTGGACTTTTTTTCAGATGCTAAAGGACAAAATTACAACAAATCAAGTTTCACATCTTAATTGGCTTTGACTTTAGAATTTGGCAGAAGACTGGTGCAAAGATGGCTTGTAATGCTCCATATGGGCAGAATCTCCATAAGGACAGATTCTACAGAAAATGGAAGTCAGGTACAGGGACAGACAGATGGATTGGTGGGTTACAGATCCCAACTGCTGTATGTGGACAGTAGGTTGCTTGTGATTAGCTAAGGCTCAGTTACAAGAGAGGATGACAGTCTGTTTACACATCAAGTTAGAATACAGCTCACTATGTATATGGAGAAACATCTGACCAAACTTAAAATATCTATGGCCACTGCTTTAAACCAAATTTAATTCAATTCAACACAGACAAATCTATGGGAATTAATCACAGCAGAATGTGGGAAGTGTGACATTCAGAAAGTAAAGAAAAGCAAAGGAAATGGTAAATATGTAAGTATATACTTAAACATAAAATAAAAATATATTGTGAGATTTAATGAGGTAGACTATTAAAGTGCTTGACAACAAGAGCATAGAGTTAGGAGGAGAGGTACAAAGAATTAAGGGATAACTTTACTCATCAGCTTTGGAATTGGTAAGTTACTTATTGTGATTTCCAAGGTAACAATTGAAAGAACTGAGCCAAGAGAGATCCACCCACCTCATATTTTTAAACATTTTAATTCACCAAGAAGACTTAGCACTTAAATTTTTTTCCCCTCATTGAGTTTATTGGTACATTTTAGGTATACAGTACAGTTACATTCATTATTGGGATCTGGTACCTTTATAGCACTTAAATTTTTAAGCACCATGATGCAGCCTCAAATATACACATAAAACAAAAAGCCAAAGACAACCAAAAATCTGACAAACATGTCAAGAGAAAAAGATAAACCCATAATCAAGGGTGACAGATGTGTCTCTCATCCTACGTGTTTCTCTTCAGATGCTTCTCTTTACATGCTTCTCCCTTTCACCCAGAGGTAGAGACTTTATTCCTTCTCCTTAAAATTAAGAGAGCTCATAAAAAAAAAATTGAGAGCTCTTTTACTAATATAGTTAAAACAAAGCAGCTGGGTGTATTGGTGCATATCTGTAATCCCAGCACTCTGGGAGGTTGAAGTAGGAGAACCACAAGTTCAAGCTCAGCCTGGGCAACTTAGCAACTTATCAAAACCAGATCTCAAAATAAAGAAAATAAAAGAACTAGAGATGTAGCTTATTGAGAAGGCCCTGGGCTCAATCCCCAATACCTAAAAAAAAGGAACAGCTATTTGGCTTCTGAGACTAAATCTTAAAAAACAGGGCCAGATTTAGTTCAGTGGTTCTGCCGCCTGCCTCACAAGTGCAATGTCCAGAGTTCAAGCCCTGCACCAAAAAAAAAAAAAAAAAAA